CGGCAGGACGGCAGGTCGTGAGGAGGAAAGAAATTAATGAGTTGTGTGAACTTTTATTTAAGATTTAAGTTTTTTTTATTTCAAAGGTCCTCATGGCTCAGCAGCAGAAGCATAAATATTACTGTTAAGAAAGCTGATGATAAAGCTGAATAAAAATCTAAGTCTGATTATGAAGGTAAATTAAATATCGGACAGTGATCATTACAGTGTGGCTCTAATTCTTCACTTCACCATCTGTGTCGCAGTTTCCAGTCTCCAAAATGAGCGTACGCATGGGTCAGAGCTGGTGTGAGGCACCGCACATTTTCACGTCAAGTTTGGATTTTATAAATCACATCCTTGGCGTAAAAAGTGGCGTACGCAAGTTTCTGGGCTCAAATTGTGCGTACGCCAGTTTTATAAATCCGATCCCTGGTCTCCGCAGTTCTGAACAGATTTAAGTGAGTGCGTTTAAAAAATGATGGCTGGAGAATTGGAAGCTAAAATTGGTTTGGTAGGAAACACCACATGGACATTCATCTTCCTCCATGTCTGCTGGGAGTTGATTTCAGTTGTTCAAATCAATGCATAAAAACATAAACTCCTGTTTATAAATGGTCATCGCCATGATACACTTGGCTGTAAACAACGTATAGAAATGTTTCTAATTCACCACCTGGTTCTGTTTTCTGTGCTGCCTCCCAGGAGGAGAGCTGGTCCATTTGCCGCCCTATCTCCGTATGGACTTCCTGTTGAACCGTGGTGTGCCTCTGCCAGCCCGAGGAGGGGGGCTCAGCAGCAGTAGTGGCAGCAGCAGCAGTGGAGGAGGAGGGGGAGGGGGAAGTGTAGGAGCTGCAGGAGCAAGCGGAGGTGCTGCTGGTGCTACAGGAGAAACAAGAGGAGCAGGAGGAGCAGGAGGAYCAGGAGCGATGGGCCAGACCTGCCTCGAACCCCAGAGGAGCCGCACCCTTAAGAGGCCCCCTCCAATGGAGCCCACCCCCATGGAAGTGCCCTCCCCCAGGGAGGTGCAGCAGTGGCAGCCGGGAACTGCCTCCACCCTCCCGCACAGGGAGGTCCGGGAGAGGGGTGAGGCCCGGGGGGAGGTCCGGGGAGAGGCCACCTCCTCAGGAGATTTAGCTCAAGCACAGGCTGCCAAGCTCAGCACCTCCCAGGAGTCTCTGCTGGACTCCAGAGGACACCTGAAACAGAGCAACAACCCTTATGCCAAGTCTTACACACTGGTATAACACTGGGACACGTGGACTCTGCAGACACCAGGACCGCTGCAGGAACGTGTGAAGGAGGGACAGGAGACAGACCACAGGCACAGGAGAGACAGTTTCCCACAACAGAAACTGTTGTACATAGAGCCGTTTTTTGACATGCTTCTCTTTGAGTCTGTCCTTCTTTCTTTGACTCTTTTCTTTCTGTCCTCTCTTGCTCTTCACTGTTGGTTTCACACGTTTTATTTCACACCTCGCTCCTCTTCTGAAGAATTTTCTCTCACAGTTTTTATTTTCTACTTGACTATTCTTTTATTCTAAAGTGATTCTACAGTGACAAAATAAAAGGATCGCCAAAATGATTTATTTAAAAATTTGAGAAAGAGGAAAAAAATGAATATTGAATTTATATCAAGGACAATTCTAGTCATTATTATTATTATTATTATTATTATTATTATTANAAATCTTATTTGTATTAAATTTTATTTTGTCATTATTATTATTATTATTATTATTATTGTATAAAAACAAAAAATATCTAAAAAAAGAGAGAGAGAGAGAGAAAAAGAGAGAGGAGATGTAGGAGGATTCCTCCAGCAGCGCTCCGCAGAAGAACAATGTTTTCTTAATTTATTTTCTTTTCAGTGTTGCAGTGTAATGAAATCTGTCATTGGGGGATGAAGAGAAGGAAACCGTGGAGACGAGGAAGAGTGATAACAGACACGACCGCCAATGCTGACCAAACGTAATGTTTTACAAACTCTCTGACAACTGCATGGCGACTGAACAAATGACAATTATTAGGAATGGCTGAAAATCCCAAAAAAAAAAGAGATAAAAATAAATAAAAGGAAAAGAGAATTTTGTCACACTGAGAAATTATACAATGTGAATATATATAAAGAGATCACTTTTATTTGTCAATATTATGGGAAAAATGATTTGGTTAATAAAGTCCTTAGTCATGTTTGCACACATCTGAGTTTGATTTATATACTTTCACCAAGGTGTCTCCTGTTGATAGATGTTTTATATCAGATTTTGTTTCATTGAACTTGAGTTTCTAAAGAAATATATTTAGATAATCACTAATCTGTGAATTTGARGATTTGCAATATTTGTCAGCTTCACTCAAGGTAAAAACTAAAAACACCCATTTTTATTCTAAAATTTTATTTATTTTTACTTAAAACAAAATGTTCATAGAAATCTTAAAATGAGATAAATACAACCCTAAATAAGCAACAGGCAAATAAGCAGTTTCAGTAGGAGTTGAAGCTAGTTTTGATCTTTTACGTTGAGATTTTGTAAATTTTGTAATGAACAATCAATATCTTTCCTGTTTAAGATAGCTCGTTGAACCTTCTTAATTTGGAGAAAATGGCTTTGATTCGGTGGGTTAATGTGCTAATACAGCGGGTAAAATAAGTATTGAACACGTCACCATTTTTCTCAGTAAATATATTACTAGAGGTGCTAATAACATGAAATTTTCACCAGATGTTGGTAACAACCCAAGAGATCCATACATACAAAGAAATCAAACCATAAATGTCCAGAAATGAAGTTATTTGTAATAATGTGGAATGGCACAGGGAAAAAGTATTGAGTAATCAGTAACTAGAAAACAAGCCTGCCCCTTGTCAGTGCAAGTTAATATCAGCTGGTTCAGTCCCAGATGATGGCC